CGTCAGTCCAACTATGTCGAACAACAGCCAGAAGCTGCCGACCACCGAGCGGGTTATAAAAAGTGAGTTGACCGATCAATGATAATATTATAGCAAAATAATAACATTATAGCGTAATATAATGTGGTAATAATAATGCGCATAACCCATAATAATATATTATTATTGCGTTTTCGTTATTTGCATTTTTCTACATTTCGTTCTCGTTTTAACGATCGTCGTTTTTTTTTACTACCACCCTCGCTACCACGGTCGCTGTTGTACCCTCGCCCGGGTGTCTGTTTAAACTTAAAATATCGGCGCGTGGGTACCACCGGTCGACGCGTTTTTCGCATTATCACCACTATATGATTGTTGTTGTTGATGTTGTTGTTGTCGTTATTTTACTTCACAACAGTATTCTCGTCACTTATCATTTCTGCTTGTATAACAATAATACATTATATCACGACGAAGACTTACTCTGATAACGGAACGGTGGCTGCTGCACCAGCTGCTGTTATAGTGTTATACTTATTGTTATGTGTTTGTAGCTCCTTTCCGCCGTCATAGTCGGCATATGACACCTTCTCCTCCTCCTACTACTAAAAAATGCAACTCCCCCCTACCTACCTCCCCACCAACGACTCTCGCCGAAATCGGGTCGACCACCGTTCTCGCGGACGGGCGACGACGACGACCACGACAATTATTATAATAATAATTCGCGAGCGTTACAATATTTTACGCCTGTGCGATGAAAAAAAATTTAGAATCTAAAAATCACAAAAAAATATGAAGATAGTTAAATCGAATTGCCCGGCGATGTCTGTGGAAGTAAAGCGCGTTAATTCATTATGATATTGCGTTTACAACGAAAACAATACTTACGTCACGGCGGCCGTGTAGCACGGGCTGTGTACGCATAAACGTTTCTAATGAGTTTTCCTATAGATTAGAAAAATTCGCGGCGGCGGCGCATAATAAGCAGGCCCGGGCCATCTACCGGAGTGGGGAAGGTTACCAGCGCGTTTGCCCTGGAAATGCGTTATCACAGTTTTTTCACGTCCATTCTACATAATATTATATTGGTGCATCAGCGATATACGTAGAGAGGTACACCTCGTATACCTAGGTGCCGGCTTCTTTATTACTGCCGGTTGATTGATTTTAACCCTTTTGTAATATTATCGGAGCGGCGGAGGTGCGACCACGACGTCGATTCGATAATTCCAATTTTTTTTTTTAAACATATTTCGTCGACTTCGACGACGCCACCCCTAATGCTCCTAAATATCTCCGCCGAACCAGTAATACTATTATTCAATCGTATATATAATATTATACAATATTAATGGCATAGGTACGCCATTTAGCCGATACCCGTTTAGGGACAATTATAATAATGTAGTTTAATATTTTTATACGAACAACATTAATAAGTGCGTCGTTTTATCAGATTTAATACTAACCGAATGTAACACGTTTATAATATACGATAATATGATGCATGTAATTTATAATTCGTGAGGCCGTTTTGTGTTCATATACCCACGCATTTTCTATGAGGACAACGGTTTAATATTTTCAATCGATCCTTTCACAATACATTATAGATCCTGCGCGTGATGGTAGTGTGCAGCGTACATTCGTTATGAATTTAAAACATTTTGATGACCTTATTATTTTATGATTTTATTATTGGTACCTACAGGCTACAACTCGATTTAAAAATTAATAATTACAGTTAATTTTTTACGGTTATAGAACACAATATGTTATTAGGTACTGTGTTTGTTTGTCACTATTGTCGTTACTTTAAATACTCAATGAACACAATATACAGTATTATACGATTTAAACAATATTATAATATAATATTTATAATTTATTGATATGCTGTACACGTAATATCCCAACGACTGGGCGACGAGTTGTATAGTTCTACACCTTAATCAGTGTTCATGACTTATAAAAATAATATTATATATTATTATTATGATAAAGTCAAAACAATCTTACATAAATTCTTAATCTTTAATTCGATATCGTATTGTTCTAACCCAACTCCGCCATCGTATTATCATAGAGACCCGTTTCCAAAGAAAAATAGGTACTTTCACATCCATCTATACATAATATTATCACCGTTTTCGGATGTAAAATATGATTCTTTATATATACGCATAGTTTAAGTATTGATTTTGATATTAATTAGGTCAGAAAAGAGTCTGAAGTAAAAATGTAAATTTCGTCACACAGCGCTGACATTGCGGAATTATAAATTTGTAGTTGAACGTGTTGGCTGTTTGTTAGGGACAGTCGCGCGCGCGCGAGCGAGCGAGCGTGTGTGTGTGTGTGTGTGTGTGTGTGCATACCGAGATATTTCAATGGCCGTAAAAGAGAAACACGAAGAACAAGTGTACGTTTAGAAAGAAGGTCGTGTAAATGGGAAACAAGCGCGGGTGGGAAACACACACACACTCGCACGCCATCGCCACTAACGTAGAGCATAGTTTCAATAGATAATATACCAATAGGTATTATCCTGCCAGTACCTATATTATAATATATTATATACCTCCTTATTCCTTAAACGAATTGCAGACGAAGGCGACGAATTAAAAATAATCGATGGTAATAATAATAATGATAATATATTGTACCCGCACTTGTTTGATTTTTCCACGTCCATATATTTCGGTTCTTTGAGAAGAGTCGAAGTATATTATATGCATAAGTACATAGGTATTGTATAACACGAGTATATTATATTTGCCTGTACTGTTTATTAACTATAATAATATAGTAAATTGTAAATGTATTACATGTATATTGTTGACCTATCATGGCTACCAATAGAAAAAAATGCAACACAAATATTAATTTATGACATAATATTTTATAGAAGTACAGAATAATGCAAATATTTTAAAAACCTCAAACTCACCCCCACTCAAAATTGTTCCCTTCTGAACGGCGTACAAGTTCAATTTGTGTCAAGAGTAACGACGGTTTACCTATAAAATTTTTTTCAAAAACAAGTATGTCTCCTATCAGCTTTTTCTGGTCTTATATTATTCCGCAGCAATATTGCAAGTGTTCCTTCGTATTATTTTAGCTTTACAAAGTAAAAAACATTTTCAAACTCGATTTTTTTTTAAATTTTTTTTTGACAGTTAAAGCTTAAAATGTATGCGTATTTACATTATTGATGAAAACTTCCGTGGAATTTGAATAATTAAGAAAAGAAATAATCGGTTTCTAAAAGTCGACGCTTTAAACCCGCCTTCTTTCATTGTGATACCATCTCAATATATTCATAATGTTTCCTGCAACCTTTGACTAATGAATTTCGTCAATTCTGATTTTTATCATTATAAATCAATATTAGGTATATTCAATTTGGATACACAGTTATTTACACTTCGCTTCATTTTTTTTTTATTACAAAAAAACATTATGATTAAATAACATTTATTTATTTATGAAATAAAACTATTAATTAATTTTATAAAAAAATGTTCATATTTTTCAAGTTTGGAAATGTAAAAACGTTTTTTAAAAAATATTACTGGATATTAAAATAATTAATTTAAGCTCCCAACATCTGAAGTTAAAGCTTAAATGAAGGAATTTGAGTTAAAATTCTTTATTTGGATACTTAGGTATAGTTTTAGTTTTATTATGTTTAGAATGAACAATTTTTTTAATTATATTCTTTAAGAGTACCTATGTGTAACATCTGTTGTCTCTGTCACTATAACAAAACTACAGGGTCTTGGCATATTTATCGTTTGTAGCCAAATTTTTAAAATTAGGTAAACATAAAATATACTAAAATTGACTAACAAAGTGTTAAACAAATGCTCTATGCTATGCATAGACCGTTTCAATATTTTATGTAATTGTAACAATAATAATTGTTTAAGTTATCAATAAATTAATATATTTGTATATTATATATATATATATATATATACCTAACTATATACGTGCGGTTTCTTTAATACTTTAAATATTGATAAAAACCTATACACTTCATTGGCAATTATTTTTGCAGTAGGCTACACTACTATTAATTTGAATGGTTTAGCAACAACATTTTAAGAAAATCGATGTTCGGTCTAGCTATAGCATGAGTGTGTGATAATCGATAGATAAAGACAACACATTTTACGCTGACGTCACTTTAATAATTGTATTGTTTATATTTCGTGACTATTTAAAATTAAAACAATAAAATAACTTAATTTAACTTAATTTAACTCGATGGTATTTTAGTTTTTTTTATAAAATTGTTGGTTTTACGGTATATGGGTATACCTACATTGACACCCCTATGTCCATTGTCTAATGTTTCTACACATACAATTATTTAATAATATATTCTTATATATTAGTTATTACCAATGAATATTTAATGCATTTTCCATATTCTCGTGTTTTAGTTAACTGTTTTTTTTATAAATTAGCTGTGAAAGAATTGGGAATCTACCTTTAAGTATGATGACTGATTTACTTAATGCACCTAATAATATCAAATTACTCTAGGTATAATTTATAAAACATTTTGACGTACCTATTTAGTACTTTGGTATAGAGATTCTGAATGTTTTCTGAGATTAAAATGTTTATGCATCTGTCTATTTTCATCTTGTACTCTGCCAGATTTTGGCAATATGGTATACATAGAAACGATTTCTGTAACAAAATAATGTTTGCACCTAATATTTATTTAAATTGTATCACCTATACTATTTTATTTGTTTCTATTACAATAGAAAACAGAAACAGAAACAGAACTCTCTTTCTATAGGCACTTGCGAAGAGAGTTAAAAAACCAAATATTAATTATTAATAATATTCAGCTAAATATTTACTTATAAATTCATAACATTTATTTAAATTTATTTTGTCGTTTGTTATTATTTTTTAAAATTATTTTCAAAAACTTTTGACACAAACATAAAGAACTGTATATTTAGTTCTTGCGTTTAATAAATGCTAAAAATACAAAGTTATTTAAACTTAAATTATTTTTATTAGCAGTTTTTCGACTACATGTTTTTAAAAAATGACATCTTTGGCCTACCATCATGATGATGACTTGTTCCATCACATTCACGTTTAAACTTCGTTACGATAATATAACTAATAATGTAAATATAGTTATATATACATTTGTGTGTTTGTAAAGCGTACACGATGTCAGAAACTTTGGACTTTGGATCGAAGTCAACCATATTATTAAGATTAGCTAACAAATTTAAGGATTAAAATTGAAACAATTAAATAAACATTGGTTTACACTTTATTGGCTGTACAGGCTTAAAAGGGGGTACCCAGGTCACTTACTTGGCTACAAAAACAATAAAATACCCATAGAAGTTTTCAACATAAGGCACAACTCAAGTACTACACAGTACGTGTCATGGACTTGATTTTTTTTCAACCCGTCAAAAAATCAATACATCCAGCTGTGTTCTGCCACCGTGTATCCGAGCCATTATGTTTCTGAAAATAATACATTTTATTGGTGAAATTAATTTGACTAATTATTTTTTGATAGCATTTTGATATATATATAAATATTTATACACGCAACACAGTTCTTTGAAATTCAATCGTTTTCTATAAAAAGAAAGCTCTCGTGTTTCTTAATTTCATCACAACTCATTTTATCGAATTTATGTGGAATACAATGTAATAACACATTGAATAAAAAGAATAAAGATATTTTTTTATCTCGCAAATAATTACGAAAAATTGGCTTATTATCTATGAATATTAGATAAACTCGTGTATTAGTTTATAATATCATATTATACACTCTATACAGTCCATAAATTTAAACTTCACTTAAATATGGCCTGTATGAAACTCTATATTTTAACTCTATAGTTTTTTCTACATATATAATATAGTTTTGTTCACATATTTTCAATAGAATATATAAAATATACGATCGTAGTATCTAAATATTGTTATCGATAAACCATAGTGGAGTCCGCTAACAAATTTTATTTTGTCAATCGAATTTAAATATTTCCAAAAAATGTTATCCAGAACACCTTATACAATAGAATTTCATTGTAGGTCGTATAATAATAAATGCATAATATTATCGTTACACGTTCGATCACAATAAAGTTTACTGAGTAAACGAATACAACCCGATTCAAGAGCTCAAAACGAAAATCTAATGACCAATACTATATATGTTCGTTTTTCTTCTTCTCCACCGTTCGCACTTCGTTAGCATTTACGCCATTATAACAATATGTAAGGTCGCAAATACGGACGAATTCGCTAACTATTGTATACTGCCATATACGTGTACATAAATATCATATATATATATATTATAAAGCAGGTATATAGGTACGCGTTTTCGTAATGCAAACAGTGTATTTCCTTGTTAACAGCGGCGGTAAATATATAACTTGCATGTCTCTGTCGGCCAATATAACTGCTGCTAATGCTCGGCGCCGCCGTTCGCAAAGTGTACATAAAGGGGGGTGTGGCGAAATAGGTCACTGTTTCAGTGTAAAAAAATGATAATGAAAAAAAAAAAGCAAAATATATAATATTAATATATAAATGTCGAATAACAAACCAATTATCTTTGCCCATTAAAAGTACATTAAAGTGTATTACTCACACACCACTCTGTCACCACTTCGACTCCTCTTGCAGTGATATTATAATTCTGTATTATGTAGTATGTAATATTATTATATAGCGATCGGTCCTACTACAGCACGATAAAGTAAAATATGTATTAAAATTTAATATGATTATTTATCTTCGATTCATCGTCGTCGTAATATTGCGCATTCCGCATTGCGGTACACGAATACAAAATCGAGTAATAATAATAATAATAATAATAATAATAATAATACCAGATATTGTATGGCTTTTATATATTTGTTTTGTTTTTATCGTTATTATTATTATTATTATTATTATTATTATTATTATTATTACGTTTTAGTGTTTGCTCGGTACCTATAATATACGTATAATATACTTTAACACATATCGTGGGGGTCGCTATTATCAGTATTATCTTATTATAATAATCTACCCTCTCGTATAAGCGCATCCCGCACAGCATTGCTGCTGTAGGTATTGTGTGTAAGAAATTACAATACAGTATCGATATAATAGTAATAATAATACGTAAGATCCTAAAATGTTATCAGTCTCTTAAAATTAGATGGTACTTTAAATACGTTTCGACGCCGCCGCCTCTTTTAGTTTGTAACGTTACATATTATTATAAATAAAATATATTATAATATTATAAAGGCGTGCATGATAATTTCATTACTCTGCACACTGGCAGTTCATGCTACATTCTTTAAAAAAAAAGGCTCATTAAAGCAATTTAAGTATAAATTTACAAAATTTTTCTGAAATATATAAATTATGTTTTTTTGAGTAGAATCTGTGCCCGTATATAATAACGACGTAAACACCATGATTATGATTAGTATTTTGGACTTGGAGATTATTGCTGAAATTTAGATTCATTAACACCTGCAGATAAGCGTAAATAATAAATCATCAGTATAATTATGAGTACCTACTTGTGATGTATTTCGAAATTTCAATTCAACTGACTTTAGTCTTTAATTTTGTTTAACATATTCCATATTTAATTGTCAAAAAGTAATCTTAGCTATACATTATATTTTTGTATAATACCTAACTTTACCTAACTATATTTAATTCGATATATGACTATTTACATGTTTGCATTGATTGTTAATAGACATTAAGATTTTTTAAAAATAATTTATTATTTGACAAAATTTCAATAAAATTAATTTTCTTATTTAACAATGTTTTTTAAAATATATTTTTCGATGTTCAAAGTTTTTTTTTTTAAATCAAGTACACTTTTTTAACAATGCCACGTGTGTTACTGTTTTACACTATACCGATAATGAAACCGAGTTTAGGACTAAAATGTGTCAAAAATGTATAGGAAAATATTTAATCTGTAGCAATTAGTAATAAATAATAATATTTAGCTTTACCTAATAAAGGTATTCAGTAATAATATATTTAATATTATTACTTTCATGCCTTAAAAAAATGTTGGATATATTTAGATTTTCAACTGTAATAATATACATTTTAATTTATAAAATTATGATGCTTATATTAGATGTTTTATAATTCATTAGATCGATGTCAACTCAACTTTTTTAACAATAGTTAGACATAGAGTTTGAACTTATTATTTTTTATCAACTAAAACTACCGTTTGTTCTTGTTTAATAATTATTTTTAATTCTAAATTTGTCTTTTACGTCGTTATTAATTTCAATAGGTAGGTGATATATTTTATTAAATTTAATTTATACATTTTCAAAAATGTAATTTAAACATTAAAATTTGGCTTATATTTTATCATACGACGAAATGGTTGGGCAATTTCCAATTTTTTTTTCTAAGCGCCAGTAACATAGTTCACGTATCATCATAGCATGCCTACATGTATTTGTAAGTTGTTAGGTACTAAATTTGAATATAGTTCTGGCAATAATATAAATTAAATAAATTAGTCTGGAAATTTTGGCTAACTTGTAAAATCTCGGATAACACCAGGTGTCAAAAACAATAACACAGTTTGTGCCTTGCACCCGTTCACACATATTTGACTTACGATCATAGCTAATTTTAACAGTAAAAATACAAAAAGTAAAAAAAAAACTTTCAATTTTTTTGTATATATATATTATACCTATTATGTTTATTAAGCTTACAAAGAAATATATTACTATTGTCATTCATTTTAATTGTTTACAACTATTGATAGTTTAAAATATGGTTAGATTTAGGTAATTTTATTTTAGTTTTAACTTTTAACACATATAGTAAAATAAGTATTGAACTTATAACAGAGTAAAACGAGCACAATTCATTTAAACTATAAATTTGTTCAACTAAATTACAGCCAAGAATTTGGTTCGTTTGCAGAAATATCTCTACTCAAACGAATTTTTTTTGAAATTTTTTGTCAGTTGCACACCAAATCTATATTTAACACGGTGACCTTGGTAAAATAATATATTCTCGAGATTCATTGTGAATAAATTCGAATTTCTCTTGAATTTTAAAAGTTAATATTATGTAAAAATCTCTTTCACATTATATTAATTACTTATAATTAGAAATTAGTTTTCAGTAGTCAATAGTTAACATCATATTATATCAAATTATGTATATATGTATATGATAAATTTGACAAAAAAATATTATTATAAATCACATACAGAGTGATTCTTTGAATACGAGATACTCATCATTTCGAAAACTATTATTATACCTTTAACATCATATGTTTTATGTCTTACATTAAAAGAATCTCCCTATATAATTATTAAATACCTATACATTATTGACTTTTTGTTTCATAAACATGATTTAATTCAATATAGTTTTTAAGCATGTTTTCCGATTATTTTTATCTTAGTATATTCTGACTCATTGTCAATAGGTAGGTATGTTTATACATCTACAACACAGCTGATATAGGCAAATTAACTAATATTAATTATTGGCTTATTTTTCTTAATATATTTTACACGATTATTGTTATCAATAAATTAAAATTAGGTTCATACATTTATGTGGCAATCCCAATAATAATTTATTGTCAGAAATATCTTAACAGCTTTACATTGTAACTTTTAAGTGACATTCAAAATGAGTATGTTCTTTATGAATTTGAGAATTTTTCATAAGAAAAGTGATTAATATGAATGGTTTGTTTACTTTTTTTATGATTGGAGTATACACATATTTACATAGGTAAATCATTTTATACTTTTGTTGATGGAACAAAGAATGTTTATTGTTTATACAATGATAATATATTTTTTCAATTTAGTTTAAAATTTTACTATTAATACTATATTTTTGGGTAGTATGCTAAAATGCATTTTTATAGTTTTCTAAAAAATATAGAAAAAAAGCATGGTAAATAACGAATTCTATTTGAACATTCTACAAAATGTATTTTGTTATTTTGTTTTAATCCAGATTATCGATAATAATGATATTTAAGTGTTAAAAATGTCACCATGATTGTTTATTTTATGATAGTTTAATTCGAAATAACATTCATACACTTTTTAATTCCGTCGAGCTTAAATAATTTGTATCGTTTTTTTATTAAATTGAAAATTTTAAAACCTAAAAATAGAATGTTCAGTTTTAAATTAGGTAACTATGTTATTTATACTATTGTTAATTTACTACAAATGGCTAATATATATTTTTAAAAACACTCAGTACTGTTTTTTTAGTATTAATTTTCAATAATAATATTAATACTTATAATAATTTACACTAAATAATATAATCCTCGAGTAATAACCACGTAGTTGATGCCTTAAAACAATTAATAAAAAAAAAACAATATCCTGTGCCATATATTTTAGACTATATTCTGTATTTTTATCCGTATATTTCAATTTGTTGTTGCAGGTAATTAGAGAATTCATTATTTTGTGAGTTAGTTTTTAATTTTATAGATAGGTAAGAAGGCCCTAACTATACAACGTACCTAATTTTCTATAGATTTCTATTATCTAATAATCATTCAAAAGTTTTTAAAAAATGCATAGTCTCGTATCATTTTATTACGAAATACAATAGTCGTCTAGTGCTTTCGAAAGGCAACACGCTCTTTTTTTACTTCCTATATTCAAGTTAGTAACAGAATTTCATATTCGTCATTCTCTTACATTTTTGTTTTATTGTTACTGACAATAATATTTAAATATTTCTGTAGGTTAATAGACTCTATGTAACTAGGTTTGTATATTATGTAATAAATTATTTTTAGCAAGATTTTAAATTCATTTATTTGAAAAATGTTAAAGAAATAGATTTTTATATTATTTAAAACTGTTGCTGGTCTCTTACATTTTGTATATCCACTGAGACATTGCAGTGTTGTGTATACGTTGGTGTGCATTTCTAAAGCCAATATTATACTAAGTCCTGTGTAAAACGACCCAAGTTTATCTATTTTACCATATATAAAATCCAAAATTATAGATTTTTCCATTATAGTTTTGTTTTACCGAGTGTACTTTTAAGACTCTAGTACTTTTATACGATTACTTATATTATAATTATTATATTATAGAGGCATATTCTACTATCGCGTACGAGTGTAAGCAATATTTACACACTATGCTTTTGTTGCTGAGTCGTATGATATCTGATGCGGAAGAAAGGACATATTTTTGTTGAAGTTTTGTCAATGGCTGTGTTGTAATTTTTTTTTCGGTGATGACTGAACTCTTGCAGCGAAGTTTAAGTGCTTGGTATAGTTGAGCAACCTTTGTAATTGGCCGTATTTTGAGAGTGCGCATCTGGTTGGAGTATTATACACCGTAATGTTCGTTACTATTCGTTAATCATATAATATAATATGAGTACTTACGATTTCAGCATTAATGAATTACTTGATGTGGTTTCCTTATTGTCTTGAGTTGTCGGATGTGACATAAAATGTGTCGCGTCTTATCGATCATATATTTTCATACGTGCGTGGCATACATTTATTAGCGTGATAATATTATAAATGTAAGTACCTCCTGGATCCTATATAGTAAAAAGAATAGAGTGTGAAGTATTATACAATTAAAATGTATTTTAGGTTCGAAAGAGACGAGTGAATTTTATTGTTTCCCTTACCTACTCATCGAGTGCCGCGTTAATTACGTTGTGTGTACCAATAATCGCGTTCTTTCCATCGCATTCCCGTGGATGAAAAAAAAGTACAATATTCGTATACCACGGTATAATACACCTATATCATCTTTATACCTATTTAACGGCATGCATAATATTATGCATGCGCGTGTGTGGCTGGCACCCAGCGCCAACTAAACAAATAACTCATTGCTATTTGAACAGGTTAGTGCACTCCTTTTCGGTTATGTTTACACACGAGCGATAAAATCGATATGAGCAAACAGCAATTCAAACTTCATCAATGGCTTCTGGCAAAACGAGGTTTGGGGATCAATCCAAGTGTTGATACAATATATACGTACGGTTTGGAGGCGTTACTCTATGTCTGATATCTGTAACATTATTGTCTTCGACAGTTGAAATTATCGTATTTTATTCATACCGAAAATATGGTGTTATTGCTATAAAAGCGCGTTTGCATAATATATATCTATATAATAATACAATATATAGGTAGGTACAGCCTTTTGAACTGCTATATATGTGTATAATATAATATGTGTAATGTATAACTTATATTTTTTATACCTACGCGTTGGCTGATATATGAAAAAATGGGAGAACAAGGTGATCCACCCCGTATTAATAGTATATATGAATAATATATCTCCATTTCTGAATAATAACCATATTTATTATAATGCATTATTATTATTATTATTAACACGCCGCATCGTCGTCTGCCAGCACTTTTATTCCGATGTTGTTTAATCATTTTATTTTGCTTATACTTTTTCGACTCGCGCTGCGATGTGACTACTTGGGTGGGTTTAGCTTGACGAAACCTAAACAAATCGCAGTCTCAAAGCCAAAACCGCCGGACCATTGCAGCGGCGAGGAGGTTAAAAAACATCCCGTTAAAAAAATACGCTTATATAAAACGTTTGTCTCGCACAGCTTTAGCGTATCGACGGACCTAAACACACACACGCACACACGTGAATATATATATATATATATATAGGTCGTCGTCGCAGTCGTATATAGTGTATGCGCGTGGCACGCCCTGTGAAAATACCGTCCGGCCACACGGGGTCATGATGATGGAGCAATAGAGTATAATAATATGATGTACATTACGATTATATACAGTTGGATATAAATCGAAACGTCTGCCATCTATGCTTTTCTCATACCGTGCATGACATCACAATATAATTCTTCCTTCTCCCGTAGTAACAGGGGATATACGGCCATGTACACTAAACATAATAACATGATCCGATCGTCCAAATTATATTAGGAAGTGCGATATGGATGGAACCGAACAGTGGAGTGACGGTTTTTTTATTCTAAGGGGAGGGGAAAAGGGATGGAAAATATTATAGGAAAAGAATATTTGATATACCTATTACCTATATACACACACTAAACATATATTATATGATCCGATGGGCACATATATATTATATTAGCTGCAAATGCGCAATATGCGACCGAACAGTGGCAAAGACCTTTTTTTCTATGGGGCGGGGAAGATGGTTGGAAAATATTAGAGGAAAAAACCTAGACAATATAGGTTCCGTTGAGGTACAAAACATTTCCAAAAAAACTCAGATTTTAGCAATGCCCGATTTATATTACGTTTGAGTTTATCATGACTTTTTATCAAGTCTAACAGGTAACCTATCAAATAATCGATTAATTGGGCATTTTTTAAGCCAGTGTGTTGGGGTTTTGGATCCTTGCACCACTCGTATACGTATAAGCCCTCGAGTGTTATATCATACCTACTAATAACGACACGAACTTTTGAAATTGTTCTCTGATGTTCCCAAAAACTATAACTATAACTGTATTAGTCCTGCGGCTTCCCAAAAATCGAATAAACGCAAATGTTTGACGAATATAATCAAATATAACTTAATTAAATCTTACAGTATTATAATATTGTTATCTCGGCACAATATTAAAGTCGATACTCCCATTCCTCATTTTCTTTTTATTGACCAAACTTGCCATTTACATTCTATAAAGTGGTTTTGTTATAAATTAAGTTAAATATTTATTAGACTATTTTGTATTTTTTTTATTGTTAAATTATGATAATTTTCGTATAATAAATATCTAACTAGTAACTCGTGACAATAATTAATATAATAATGAGTTTAGTATAATCAAAATTTGTATTTAAGTGTTATAACAAGTCACTGAAAAAATGTTCAATCAATAAGCGCTGTTAAATATTTTAAACAAAATTATTAATTTAAAAAATACTTAAATACTGATGTAATAATACATAATACAATATTGTAAAATTTTTGATCGGCACACATATCACATTTGACTTTTGCTTAATTTTAGTAAGAAGTTTGATTAACAGTTAAATTTTAGAAATATGTCTCTATACCTAATATAATTATAACTATAGCATATTTTTCCATTTACAATATTCAAACAAATATAAATAAAGCTTTTAGCTTTAACGAAATATATTAAGCATCTTGGTAGTTACATTTAATATATACTATTATAATTGTGACCAAAATTATTATGGATGTTGAATAATAAAAATTCCAATTTCTAATTAAATTGATCTAATAATGTATTTTTCTAAAACATGCATAAATAAGTGTAAGTAGTGTTCATATTAAATTTTAAAAAAATGTGAAGTTTGAACTACCTAATAAAAATTAAAAATGTAAAAGTATAATGAAAATGTTTTTAGTTAATCATATTATATATTTGACGTTTTTACCAACACAAAAAAACTGTTTTTATTTTGTTTTTGATTAATTACTTTGTGTAGTATCTATAGCAACATGAAAAGCACACATAATATAACATAAGCTTTAAAGTATTTGGGTTAGGTAAAGATGTTTTGTATGATATTTATTAATTCCGTGCTTAATAAGTATTAGAAAAAATGTATTTGAATAATGCTACTTTAACAGTACTAGCTGGTTACAATTTGAACTTACACATAATAAGTTGCGTGCTAAGAGTTTTTTTTTAACTACTAAACTTTCCTTCGTCGTGATTTTTAAAATTAATCACGCGATTTAAAAACACCAAAATAATTGTCCAGTCGCTTGAGTGAATAATTTGATTCCAATTAGTTATTAAAGTTGAATAGTTTTCTTTTAAAAATATTTAGAATAATAATATCATATTATAATTATATTGACATTACAAATCACGATTCAAAATTGACCTCTATTGACCTTTTATCAACTCCGTTTATTAACCGATCGCAATACACGACAATGTAATTGCCTTAAATGGCTTAAATTGAAGAATATTGGCTCAAAAATAAAAATGTGATATTATTGTGTGATAATTCGTTACATCAACGTTACATCGTTTATTGAGTACCAACTCTCCGGTACCGGTGTTTTCTATTGTCAACACAATTCTTTAAATTTATAAGGAAAAAATACTTCTTTAATAAATTGACCTTTTATATGTATAAACATTTAAATGTCAACAATTTTCTTTTTAGTATTCGATTTCAAAATAGGTATCTTAACATTTTGATTCTGGATACCTACATTACCATGAACCTGTTGACAGCGTGACACAAAACAATCTTATTGATATTATGAAGTTTTTTCCGATTCTTAGAAATCCATTTTGGATAGATTGTATTGGGGTTGATTACAGTTGAAGCTAAAAATCTAAATAAAAAAATATTCTGTTGAAAATTATGCAGAAGTAGTTACAAAGGAGAATGGATTCCAAAAAAAAAAAGATTGCATGAGACACATGTCTTTTCAAAAGAAAATTAGAAGAAAATAATAAGTGGGAAAATTTAATTTTTCTTTTTCTTATCTATCTAGTTAACATAAAACAACTCCAAATGTAATTAAAAACTTCAGACTATATTATTATTATAGTATGTAATTTAATTTAATTTGATGATTTCTTTTAATATCTTAAAGTTTTTAATTTGTTTACAAACTACGGCCGTGTATAATCGGTTTTGACTGAAATTTAAAAGACTGTATTAAAATATCTCACAACTGAGTATATAGACATTTTCAATCTGCTTATTATAATTAACTTTAACTTTAATAAGTCTTATACCTATCGAGTTAATGAAACGTCTAAAATCACCGAATAATGTTTTATGTAGGTTAGTGAAACGAGTCTTTCAAACGTCCAATCTTAAACTGGGTATATTATGATGGCCTTTTAAAATAATTAAGCCTCCTCCCCCCTTCCCCATTACCGTAAAATCTACATTAAAGGAAACTCGCACAAATTATACGATTAAAGCAGTTGACTATATTATCAACGTTCCTGGTGGCTGTTTTTGATTAGGCTTCGTGGTAAATAACAATATATGTGAATGTGACATAAGCCGCTGAATTTAGCGGTTCATGTTCGTTTTTTTATGGATTTAAGAAGTAGAGCGCTGATATTATCCCTGGTGCCCCGAAAAAAGTTTAATAAAATAAAAAATGTGTTAAATTTAATTCGACAAAATATATAATATACTACTTATATAGGTATACATTATGAATACCAACGTTTTAGAAGTAAGTACCATAAAAAGTAAAATACAATATACTGTACATCGGGTTCAGTTTATATAGAAGAATAGGTAATTTACATTTTTATAATATGTCGTAAATTCAAAAAGTGGGTTCTGCAGACTCTCTTAAGTACAGGCACTGTAGGTACCTACTGATTTATTTAATCTATTTTATTTATTACGTAACGGATGAGATCAAGTGATACACAGTCGAAAAGTAAATGAAAAACACGAGACGCATAATATATATTGTTAGGTAAATAAAACGATGAACATGAAAATATAAAAAGCTGCATAGCACTAAAATATATAAACCTCATCACCTCATCGGTCAGGCACATCGCATGCGATCGAAATTCGAGGGGATGGCCGTAATGTAGTCGATATAGTCGGTACTAAATAAAAAACGTGCAGAAATATTTGTCGAGTGATCTAATACCATCGCGTTAGGTGTACTGTGTTTAAAATATATTATGTTGTTCGATAAAAAATAAAATTAACATAATATTATTATAACTTATTAAAACGGATTCCTGAACTCTTATTTTTATACTATCTATGCAGACATGCAGTGCCTATATCCAAAACACAGATTTACTGCCTACCACCACGCCTAAATAGATACATTTTTTATAAAACAGTTCGTGTAGTATAATATGTTGAACGGTAAAAGGTTGTTGTTAACTGTGCCGTCGATTTCTCGTCGTGCAAATGACTGCAGGTCGAATATCGACATTGTATATTATGATGTTATACTCTATACCGCCGAACATTTCGCCCGGTGTGTTCGAGTGCCCAAAGGCTATACACACAATGTATATATCTAGTTAATTGTTCGGCTTTGGTATATAATACCTAAACTGCAGCAGATATTACATTGTGTATCGTACTTATATTATATTACTATACAAATAAGGTTATGGTCAAATAATATTA